AAAGCAGTAACACAAAAAAAGGCAACAAATCCTTACAGGAAGAAACATTCCCACCCCCTTCACACACAGAGTAGACAGAAAGGGGCAACTTGGACACTGGATACCCAAATGGGGAGGGAGGGACTACAAAGGCAAGAAGTAGCTGGCTTACAAGCTTTCAAGAGGGAACCTACAGCTAGGGGACATGGGGGAAGGCAGAAACATCAGTGAGTACTATCCAATTTGTCTAGGTGGAGCTGATGAAATGAAATACAGATGGGTTACATGCGATACTGTAGTGAATAATGGTTATCAAGATGGATTGTGAGGGTTGGAAATGCAAGGGTAGATGTTTTGTAGCAAGGAAGAGAGCGATTATTTCTCCAGTGTAGGAGTGGAGGTCTCTGGGACCACCAACGGATAAGAGCCGAGAACAGGACCCCACCCAGAGAACTGGGGATGCCTGAGATGGAGACAGAGATGATGACATGGAGGGATGAAGCGGCTGGGGACTTTGGATCCAGAGAGGGAAAGGAACTGTGGGCCGAAGACTGAGGCGGGAGGGGGGAGTGTAGAGCACGGGCTTCTAGGATATGCCCTTTGGTCGGAAGACGATGAAGACGATGCATGGAGGGGATTGGAACCATGGCAATGTAATGATATACGATGGAATGAATATGGAACTGAGGTTCTCTCATGTAAACTATCATATAATTCACAATAAAACATTAAAAAAAAGATTCCTGGTATGGCATTGCAGGATCAGCACTGGACTGAGAACTATAGGGTCAGCAGTTCTAACCCACCTGCTGCTCCTAGGAGACCCTACACGGGGTCACTAGAGTCGAAATCAACACAACAGCACTTAACAACAACAGCACGCAAGACAAAACCTTTAAACAATGAAAGCTAATGACAACACTTGATTACACACTTTAGTACAAGTATGGGGAAACCTTTGGAATGGACTTTGGCTTCATATTCTTGTGCTATAAAGTTGTTTTTGCTAAGTGTTGTTGAATCGGTTCCAACTCATAGCAACCCTGTATAGGGTTTCCAAAGCTGGTGGGTTTGAACCACCAACCTTGTAATTAGCACTGTCCAGTGCTTATCCTATGGCACTACATCAGGATTCTTCTATAAAGTTACTATTATCTTTATTAATGAATATAACCTTGACCTGAAAATTCTTCTCAAGGGGTTCCATAGACCATCTCATTTTGCCTTTTCTTTTTCCCTCTTTTTACCAGCTCCTTCTCAGAAACCCTATACAGGGTCGCAATGGGTTGGAATAGACTCAATGGCACTTAACAGCAACAACAACATTCTTAAGTCTTCTTCCTACAGGTATCTCATTTCTGCCTTTGGATGAGTTGTGCTGTATTTGGCAAAACAGGCAAAGACAAATGACTCAGTCACTCAATGAGCTGGTATTGTCACAGTTCTCTAGAATGGTCACCATCATTATCTTAAGTGTGGGTCAGATCTTTAACATACCACCTAGTATGAAGTTAGGGAGGTGGAAAGGTTTCACCAGGCCACTAAAGTTATGAGAATTTATATTTCATTCTGTATTCCAAGAGTTTCTATTATACATTACATGCTTATAGAAAGTTATCTTAGTAACTTTCTATAATATATATCTCTGGTAGCGTAGTGGTTACGAATCGGGCTACTAACCTCAAGGTCGGCAGTTCGAAACAACCAGTGGTTCCGCGGGAGAAAGATGAGGCGATCTGCTCCCGTAAAGATTTACAGCCTTGGAAACCCTGTGTAGGGTCACTATGAGTCGAAGCCGACTCCACGGTACTTAACAACAACAACAACAACATATACATAATATATATGGTACACATATAATAAATAATAAGCAACACCGATATAAAAAGCAACAACATAAATTTTAGTATTTTATAAAGTACTGAATACTGTCTCAGAGGAGGTTAAGAATACATGTATTCAAAAATAAAAGCTAGAGAGACTTATTAAATCTCTGATAGCAGATGGGATGGGCTATGGGACAAATTATATTCTGAAGTTTTATAGGTTACACACGATGTACATTTAAAATACCATCACTGATATAATAATGAGTCCTGGTGTGGTGCTGTACAACAAGCATTGGATTGGTAACTGCAAGGTCAACAGTCCATACCCACCAGTCACTCTCAGAAACCCTATACAGGTTGCTGTGAGTTGGAATGGATTTGATGGTATTTAACAATAAAGAAATTACTAAATGTATCAGTTGCAGCAGCAATCATTATTTGGGATCAAATATTGGCAGTTAGTGAGAGCTTAAAAGAAAAAAAATTAATAAGTATT